CTTGATAATGAGTGGTACAAACACTTTGGAAAAGGGAACAAAGGAACTTTTGGGTGGCGGGGGGACCAAGGAGAAAACTCACATAAATTCAGCTGTGATCATGGTACTTCAGTGCCTTTGAGTAGCCAACCATTGTCAAAGTAAGTCAAATATAAGGTCCTCTCTATGGTAAGCCAATGTCTAGAGCAAAAGAGCTCTATCTGTCTTTACAGCTTAATTTCCCACTACTTCCCTAGTGTCTTCTATGGTTCTTGAAAAACAGAACTACTAATAGACTTCATATTCTCTGAATATACTCCCTTTTTTTCCCCTGTTTCTATATCTTTGTAAAGTTCTTTCTATCCAGAATCCCCTTCCTTCCTACCATGACTCCTACATTAATTTCTACTTTTACCCACTCTTTTAGAGTCAGATCACATATCACTTTCACTTTAAGTAGTTTTTATAATCCCCTGAAGGGAATAATAGCTCTCTTCTTGAAAATCTAATAGTACTAATACCATATTATATACCCTATATAAAATATGTATGTTTATTTTGAGTATATATTTATATATTTCATAGAATATATTTTACTATATGCTATATGTAATATGCAGAGTATGTGTTTATACATTTATTTAAAATATATACATAACACACACATTATATACTCATTCTCTGCCTGTTTTTGTCTTAAATCCTCTACGAGGCTGTGGAGAACCTGTGGGCTGAGACTGTACCAGACTCATCCTGTGTCCTCCACAGCACATAGTAGTTATTCAACAAATATTCGTTAAATTGTTAAGTATATATCGATCATTGAATATTGAATAAATTCCCAAGGTTCCTAGTTCATGAGCTGCTTCTTAACATAATTTTTATAAAAACTTTCTTTAAACAGGACCTCAACAGCATATTCATATACATAAGATAATTCAGAATTTAAAAATAACTAAAGATAGTAAAATAAAGATAATCATATTAACATATTTAGGATGAAAATATAAATTAGGAAAAAAAACAACAATTAGGCATCAGGAAATTTTCATTTTCTTTTGTAGAGTGTATACATTCAGGCTAAAGGTCAAAAGCTAATGACCAAAACATGAATAATAATTTTTAAATTAACAAACAAGGGCATTGTTCACATATCAGGAAAGACTGTTCTGAAATTAGACCCTACACACCTTGATTACAAGTGCCTTTGCAAAGTGTGATGACTATAAAGCAAAGTACACTGTAATCTGTGGTAAATTACTCAAGGGGAGAGACTGTGTTTTATTCATCTGTGTACCCTTGTAGTGCCAGATGGATTAAAATTAAAAGATACTTGTAAAAATCAATATAGACATTTAAATGACATGTCCCATTTAAAATAAGCCACCTTACAAGGCTGAGACATTATAACAATAATTTTCCTCATTTCAAAGAGCATACAATCGGTCTCCACTATTTATGACAGGAAGTTAAAATTCTAGTCTGAGATTTGAGTTCCCTCACAATTTTCTTTCGTTTTCTAAAAGTCTCATTTCCCACTTCTTTCCTTCAAGCATCTTATCTGCCAGTCAAATTGAACTTCCTGATTTCACACTTGCTTGCCTCTGTACCTCTGGTCATTTGGCAATATCTTATGTCATTTATCATTTTCTTCCTCACATTGTAACTTACATAGCTTATTTCCCGTAGTAGATTGTGAGTTCCTTAAGTCAGAGACTATGTCCTATATGACTGTAACTATATTTTATTACCTAGCACAGGGTCCTGGCACATGGTAGGCACCAAAAAAAAAAATCTGCTGAAGAAATCACTGAGCGTATGAACTCAAATCTGGAAACAAGTTTTTGACAAACCAAAGAAGAAAAATGTTTCCTTAATTTATAGCAGGATTCTCAAATATAAACAGGCATTAAAATACCTGGGAAACTCATTTAAAATGCAAATTCTTGGTGTTAGTTGTCACCAGGGGACTTGAAGGAATCCCAAGAGGCAACTATAATTATCTAATGAGAAGAAATAAACTCCCGAAACACTGCTGAGAGTAAAGAGGGCAAAATGGAAGAAACAGACACAAGAGGATAACAGGCACACTCCTGGCAATGGGAGTCATCATCCAACTCTTCCTTGGTAAGAAAGTCATTTCTTGGCTGTTTTTCCTTACATCTAATCTCTGACTTTTGAAATCAAGATGACAATGTGTTTAATTTAAGTTCCATTCACTTCAATGTACAGAGAGAAATAACGATTATTTTTCTCATAATACTCCAGATATGATCCATATTTCAAAATGCACAATACATAGGTTAAACTATAGAAACTTTTTATGTGATAAAGTTCTTTGAAAAAAAAAATGATACTAAGTGTTAGATATTGCAAAAGATACTCTCTGGTTATAAAGCAGCAAGGCACTGAGAGAACTAACATGTTCTCTTTAGATTACTTCAAACAGAGGATGTGAATTATAGGAAGTAAGACTTCAAGTGGTTAAGAAGAAAAGAGTTTTGCCTTTTAGAAGTTCATAAAATGCTTGTATTCTAAACTTCATACACGGAACTCCTTAGGATAGTCTGATATAGTACATGCTATCTGTCACTTCTCTATCCTTTTGGCAAAGACTACAGAGAGACAAATGTTACAGAGGCTCAAAAATGGAGACTTCTGGAAAAATGACCAAAGCCAGAAATAAAGCTGTACTAATTGGAACACAAATAATTAAACGGCCAAACCCGAATGTTGTGTGATGCTGAAATGAGAGATTTCTAAGGCACACCATCTGTTTTACAGTTCTTGATTCTGCTGTACTACAAATCTACTCAGTACAGTTTTGCAGTGATCTATCTAGCTGCTAGCTTATTTGCACAATTACTTTAGGCCAGAAATACTTATTGTACAGAATCATTTGAGATATCAACACATTCATAGAAGAGGGCAGATATAACGCACATTTTTGAGTGAAGACTATTTTTCTAGGCCTTGGAGAAAAAAATATATATATATTATTCAAAGAAATGATTAGAAATTGCCAAAGGAAAATTACAGAATTTAAAAGAAGAGTGATATCACTATAAATTTATGGTATCTAAACTTATCTGGGCCTTCAGGGTCACCATGAACCTCTCTGTTGGCCAGTCTAGTGGAAACTTCTCATTCTCGTCTTAACCTCTCAGGAGCATTTACCTGAGAGTTGACTGCTCTTGCTTTCTCATACATTTTTCTCAGTTAACTTCCCCGGCATCACTCTCGTAATTTTCCTCCTTCCTCATTAGCTATTCCTTCTCAGCCTCCCTTGCTAGCTTCTCCTCTTCTAAATGCTGTAGTATGTAAAGGCAGGGTGCTGGGGCCTCTTCTTCTTTCTATCTGTATTTTCTTCCTAATTTATCTCTTCAGCCCAATAGCTCTAAATGGCATCCATATACTCATGATTCGCAAATTGATATTTCCAGCTCAGACTTCTCCAGCTCCAGACTCATATATTCAATTACTTATTTGTTATCTCCACTTGGATGTCACACAGACATCTCAAACTTAGCATACCTAAGTTTGAGATATGGGACTCTTGATTCACCACCCTTCCCCCAGAAAAAATGTCTATTTTTCCTCTAGTTTGCCACATCTCGGTAAATGGCACCAAGTAAAATCTAGACGTCATCCTTGATTCCTCCATTATCCTCATCTCTCATCTAATCCATCACCAAGTCCTGTCAATCATACCTAAAAAATATATCACATTTATTTCTCTTCAACTCTACTGCTATCATCCTGTCCAAGCCACCACCATCTCTCAACAATACTACCACAATGTAAGCATATCTCTCCAGTACCTAACACAGTGTCTATCAAGTAACAGATGCAAAATAATTTTTTTCATAGATGATTATTGCTTAGCAATATTCTGATGTATCTTTAGAAACATGCAGTCTCAGTGATCTGACATTTTCTGAGATACCTACAGACTTATTCATTTACGGAAACATTCACTCATTCAGCAATTGTTTATTGAGTATTATATTAATTGGTATTAGGTTCACCTGCATATTCTACAGTTTCTTAAAGATGACAGAAGTTTGTTTCCTACTCATATAGAGGTAGGCAGTCAAGGGCTGGCATGGCAGCTCTGTGAGCTAAGAGTCCTGGTTCCTTTTATCTTGCTGCTCTGCCATCCTCAGCTTACGGATTCCACTTTATGGTCTATTTCGACTGCTCAAACTCCAGCCATCACATCTGCATTCCAGTCACCAGGAAAGAAGACAGGCATGAGGAATGCCATACCCCCTCCATTTAAGGACACATCCCAGAAATTGCTATTACTTCCACTTGGATCTCATTGACCATGACAATAACTAGCGAAGACAGGCTAATTAGCAAAGAATACTAGATAGCAATGTGTCTAGCTAGAAGTCAGGATCCTCATTACCATGAAGAAAAGAACAGATATTGAGAGGTAAGTAGCAGCCTCTTCCAAAGTTCCCACTGCAACCAGGTAATGTTATGGGTACAGGGATATAAAGATCAGTAAGACACGGGATCTATGCTCAAAGTAGTTAGCCTAATGGGAAAAAGCAATAAGTAAATGAATAGTTACCAAGATTTCAGCCACTATTAGGAGACGATGGCTTTTCTGAGTACCCGAAGATTTCTTGCATCCAGAGAGTTAAAGAGAAGTAGATGGTTCTAGTGCTTTATATCACTAAACTATACTGACTCTTCAGTATTCCACAGTTTTAATAATGGACATTTCTCAGCTCTGTTCTACTGGATTGGAGACATTCAGGACAGGAAGCCAAGCAAAGTTCATTCAAACCTCTATAAATATATATAAACAACTGTGGTAATAGTTTTAACAGTCTGAAAATACACATTACAGAAATGTGTCATGATTCAATAATATCTTTAACTTTTCAGAAAGATGAGACAAATTGACTACTCTAAGAAGACTATATATAAACTGCAAGGATGAATGAAAAGAAATAAGCAATTGTAGCATGTCAAAAAGGAAAAAAAGAAGTAATACTGTAACTTACTGTTATCCACTGGTTATCTAGTAGTTCCTTAGCTGTGATTCTGTGAGCAGGATCAACTTTCATAAGTTGTTTCAGAACACTTTTAGCTGCGAAAAAAGGAAAATCCCAAAAATCTTATTTATCTCAACTAAAATTAATATCATACATTTTCCAATTTATTTAGAATAAGGTCTATATGACATGAAGAAAAGATGCAAATTATAAAATAAGTATCAGTATAAATAGTTAAGAAATAAAATTAAGTCTTACAGTGAGATTTTATTGCCTGGATTTCCTGGTTTATATTCTACAGTAAAAATTAACTAGATGATCAGCAAATTTCCTTTTCAATTTTTACTATGTATTTTCTGTTTTGGGCGGAAGTTTGGACTATTAAAATCGGAGTGAAGATATTACCATTTCCACAAGTAAATAGTGTTTATTTCTACAAGTGAAATTAATGACCAAAGAGAGATTTAAAGTATTTGAATTACTAGTAATTTTATTATGTTACCTATATTTGCTTTACTAAATAATAACAAACCTATATTTACCACTATCACTTATGGAATCCCAGACTGCACCGTCAAAATGTAGTTCTCCTTTTCTTATTAGCTCAAAAAGCTTCTCTTCGGAGCTTGCCAAAAAGGGCGGTTCTCCACAAAATCTACAACAAAGACAATCGTTTTGTTTAGACTTTTTGAAAATCAAAATAAGGCTATTAAAAATTAAGTTTCCACAGGACTTGGAAGTAGTGGTGCTACATATTTAAGTAAAGTGTAGGAAGAAGGATAGAAATGAAGACACTGAAATTGTTAAAGATTTTGCTTACCTTGGTTCAGTCATCAAATCAAATGGAGACTGCATCCAAGATATCTAGAGAGGGCTGAGACTTGGAAGGGCAGCGATGGAAAAATCAGAAAGGTCATCAAGAGCACAGATGCGTATTAGAGACCAAGGCCAAGCTCATCCACACCCTCCTATTCCAAATTACTATGTGTGGATGTGAAAGTTGAACAGTGAAGAAGGCTGACAGGAAAAAACTTGATTTATTGGAAATATGGTGTTGCACAAGAGCTCTATGAATACCCTGGACCACCAGAAAGATGAACAAGTGGGTCCTAGAGAAAATTAAGACTGTAACATTGCTGAAGGCAAAAATGGCAAAACTGAAGCTGTCCTACTTTAGTCACATGATGAGAAGGCAGAGTTCTTTGGGGTGGGGGGGGTGAGGAGGGAACAATAATGCTGGGAAAAATAGAAGGCAGCAGGAAAAGAGGGAAATCAAATACGAGATAGACTCTGACTCCATAAAGAAGCCATATGCATGAATTTACAGGAGCTGAGTGGGGCTGTCAAGGACAGGACATCATGGACATCACTCATTTACAGGGTCTCCAGGAGTCAGAGCCGACTCAATGGCAAATAATACACATACACGGGAAGAGGTAGGTACCTCTCTGGATGTAGAAATGGGGTTTTGCAAGATCAGTTTTAGGCTCTTGCATACATAGAAACCTCTAGATCTGCAAATGACCCAAAGCTCTTCCAGGTGGGGAAATACTTAAGTGGCCTTAAAATTCAGGATGGTGTTGCAGATAATAGAGGCGATATTCTTCATTGTGAGCAAGGGTAAGGTAATGCCTACAGCACATGATCCCAACTAAACTTATGGAAAAATATACTGAGCCATCAGACTCTAATGAGAGTTATCAGAGTCTAACTGATCATATAAGAGCTTTACCCAGGGTAAAATACTATAAAAATGTTAGTAAGATTAAACCAAGAATAACCCTGGGAATGTCTATGGCCCTGAGTCAAAGCCAAAAATCCATAAAATGACAACTCTTCAAAAATAGTATACAAAATACAGAAGGTCTGGATAAGGAAAATCAGATGATGATTTGATCCTTCAGTCTGGAAGGGTGAAAGCTAAGTATATATAACGACCAACATCAGTAAAACCATGTATAAGGTAAACATGGGCTTATTTGCACATTCTATAACATGTGGACCATGTGTCTTTTAAAAGTTAAGTACTGTACTACATGGAAGACCATGGCAAGTCTGTGCTTCTGTAGGTAATCCAGTCCAAAAGCTACAAAAGCATGGTTGAAAGCAGAGTTCAATTCTTCATAGTACATTCTCAACAAATGTTAGCTATCACCATTATTTCAACCCTGACCTCTGAGGACAACCCTGTATACAACAACCAGATTTTCCCAATGAAAAACAGACAGAGGTTGGACCTGGACTGTCAAAGAGGCAACTCTGTATGTCTATTCTTCAACTCTCAAGATTGTATTTTTCCACTTTATTGCTGAAAGCATAAAACAGCATAATTACATTATACTTCCCATGTGCTGGTCTACTATGTACGTAAGTATAAGGATCTTTAAGTCTCTTAATTGTTACATTTCTACCAATATTTTTAGCTACATTTTTCTTTAAGTTCTTTAAAAATCTTCCCCATGAACATTTTCTAAATTTTAAGTTTGATAAATGTTTCACATGAAAATGATGATGGTGATGACAATTTTCCTAGGGAAAAAAAGTTGTTTTCATCCTAGTAGTTTATTAAATTAGGTTGGACAATATAGCCTTTCATTTACCAATAGGTTCTTATTAAGAGATAGGTATTTATCGAATTGTTCTGAAAATTCTTACTTTAATGCTTTTTCCTTCTCCAGCTCATTCTGACCCTCCTCTCTCTGATCTTGCTTGCCTCACTATCATTTACTTTTAAAATGCAATCTTAAAAAAAGCCAGAAAAATGGTCTTATGGACAATTATTATCCATTGTAACAAGTATAGGCTAGCAAAAGCCCAGCTCACTGAGTCTGTTAATAACCAGCAATATGCACATCCACCAATTTCTTAGCTGTTCCTGCCTTGCTTGACTAGCATGCAACTATAGCTTAAGGGCTATGTTGAAAAAAATCCACTGTTTTTCTGTCCATTGCAATTTTACATACACAAGAATTTATCTAATGGTTGGTCAATCAGCAGCACGTGAAATTTTATGACAGCAATTTTCTGCACATCCAAGAGAAGGGAATCCAAGACATGAAAAATGCCTCTTAAAGCTTTCCTATTATTTTCTGTTGCATTCATAGGAATCAAAACAGCAGAGGATATACCCATAAAGAGTATTTATGTTAATTTCACCTTGAGAAAGTATGTTATCATTGTCCAATTAAATAGAAATGAATCAGGAGGAGTAACTGATAACCAAGAAAATAAACCCCCTGGAGAAGGTAATATGTTTGTGCCCTCAGTGAAGGAAATTACCTCTAAGACCACTGGGCTCAGGCAAATTAATGAATAGGCACTGATTAGCTAAGTAAGAGTCTACTGTAAAGAAAAAACAATGTCATTAGATGATATGCAGCCATGCTCTGAAGCAGAAAAAATAAAATTATATCTTTAAGAGAAAAAATTTCTAGCATATTAATATATTATCACTTTCCTTAACATCAAATTCAGACTAAGAAGGCAGCAAACATAGGAACTGTGTAATATTAGATTACACATATTATATTTGACTTATGTTGTGTAGAAAGTCGTGAGCATATAAAACACAATTTAAAATGGTTATATTTTTAATTAAAGACTAAGGCTCAGAATTTTTACAATATTATTCTAAGCAGCACAAAATAATGATCAAAACTTTGTGAGTTCATTTATACTTTATGCAATCTAAGCAGTTGATATATGTTGACCATCTGAGTTACAGCTATAATCACATCATCCAATATCTACTGCCTGTGTATTCCGTTTTGCAAAACTGTGAAAATGTAACTACTGTGATGTCAATATTTAGAAATGATCTAGAAGAGGTAGTGCACAGTGAAATCTTCAATATGACTATAAAACTAATGTTGCAGCAACATAAAAATGTTCATATTTACCAAGAGGCAGAAGAATGGTCACTAACTTTTCAGAATACCTCTTAGAAAATTCACTTTAATTCAATTTAACAAACATATATTGAGCACTGACTTGATGCCTACTATTGTTCCAGGTACCAGAGATGTAAAGATAAATAAGATCTCCATTCTTCAAGGAATTTAGAGCAAGGAAAATATACATAATACACATAATACAATAATTATAATATTGTAATCTAGTTTTTAAAAGTGCTATGAGAACACAGAAAAGTGAACAATTAATTATATCAAATTTACGTATGTGCAAACCTTCTTGTTTGGATATTTTATTATTTTGTTTTTCTTTCAATGTTACTGTTTTGCATGCATTTTTGTATGTTGCCTTAAATCCTCTGGGGAAGATTATAATAAATGTAGTAACTCTGCCGAGGTAGAGTAGGAGTTGGGGAAATAGCGGTGTTAATGTTTGACCTGGTTGCACCCAGGAGAGAGGTTAGTAGAAAAGTAAAAGAACATTCTAGGCAGAAGGAACTGCATGAGCAGAGACCCAGAGGAAAGCCATACAGGGATCCGGGGCTGAACCTCCATCTAGTTAGTGCGCATTCCTTACATATGCCCTGTCCACAGAGTAGCTCCTGTGCCAGGTTCCGGCACCTCCTTCTACCTGATGAGCTGTTAGTGATTCTCTTGAGAAAATACAAAGAAGCTTGGTTTGCAGCAAAGGACCAGGGAGGTTTCAAGGCAAGTTTTTCACTTTGCTCAGATCATCCAGTGCCTTGTAGTATTTACAGATCAATGAAAAGTGAAGCTGAAAGTTTTAACTTTATAGTATTAAAAAAAAAAATACTTGATGGGTGTACCTGACAACTAATAAGAGAGCCTTCAGTGACTTCCCAATTGCTTTTCAGTCACTTTTTTTAAAACTATATTGTTTATTTAATTTAAAAATCTATGTGATTCTACTATTAGAAACCATCCATTTTAAAGTGTACATTTAGCAGGCTACTTACAAAATGTACATTATGACACCTATGCTCCAAATGTCACACTGCTGGCTATAGTCGTGGGCATTGATAACTTCGGGGGCTGCCAAACAAGCAGAAATAAAATAATATTAATAATACAATAAATGACTTCTAAATGCTTAAACACGAAGCATGAAAAATGTGCTGATGTGCTGTAATTTATTCCCCCACAGGGAAAAAGAGAATCAACAGCAGATGTTGAATGAATAATGTACAGGCCTTAACAATTGATGTCACCGTATCCTCACTCCTGTCATTTAGCTTCTAATGAAACGACGGCACAAACTGTGTAACTAAATGTATGACTACTCTTCATTCTTTTGAAACTGTTAAGAAATGATTTTGTTAGGATTTTGTTGTAGAAGACAACAATACCTCAGTTCTTCTCCAAAACTAGAATTGAATACATGCCTTAAGTAGATACATTTTAAAGGAAACCAAATATGTGGAAATTTGGATTCACAGAAAAACTAAGATAAATAGTTACAAATCACTTTAATAATATCGCAGCATGCCTATGAGAATATGAATTATTTTTCACGTTTTCTAAATGAGAACACTAAGACAGAGAGCTCCTACAACATAACTGCATCGAAAAGCCAGTCAGTCACAGGATAAGGACTAGGAACCAGGGACTCCTGACTCCCCAACTCTGATTTTGAATAGTTTACAACATATTCAAAATCTTTCAAAGTTGAACTTTTTTTTTTAACTTTAAGGTAGCACATTTTCTAATGATTATATTTTTTATATTGACTGGCTTTTAAGAGAGTCACATATGATATTCAAGACTATATCTATTTTACCTCTACAGCAAGGGATCACATATCTTTCTTTAAGGAAAAAGAAAGAATAAAACAATTATAAACATAAAAATAAAATATATGTATATAATATATGTATATATTTCAATAGAACTTTAAAATTTACTAAGTACTTTTGTATCAATTATCTTATTTGTATAAATTATGTTAAGGATCTTGTGCGATGGGTATGTAGGCATTTGACTCAGTAAGGACACTAAGGTTCAGATATATTAAATGCCTTGCTTAAAGTTACAAAGGTGTTTTTATTTTAGAAAACAGTTTCAGTCTTCCCCATCTACACACACACACACACACACACTCGTACTCCTTTTATAACTAATAAAAGCAAATGGAATTTCATTTCCTCTGCCTATTGTTAACAGAACTAAAAAGCAACAAAAAGGAGTCCAAAGGTAAACTGAAGAATAAGAAAAGGCTCAACTATGGATAATTAAACTGAATAATTTGTCTCCAAAGTATTGAAAATTAATTAATCTTTTCCTTTAAGCAATTTCTTGTATTATTTAACTCTACTTAAACTCTTTAAATAGTAAATCATTAAAGTTCAAGTTATTCTATGGCCACATGTCTAAAATTTACCACAAAGGTAAATTTTAGGATTAGGTTCCATGAAGGATCTCCATATTGGTGCATCATACACACAGCAGGGCCCCAAATTCCTGGTCCTCACTCTTTCAGAGTCATCTTAATTATCAGGGGCATTTCTGCTGTACTGTCATCACAGCTCTCATAGGGAGGCAGAGGCCAAAATAACTGTGCCAGGGAGCCATTTAGGAAGTCAGCAAAGCTCTTCAAACCATCTGTCTTCTCTCTTGTTCTCTCGCTTGTTATCTGTGTAGACAACTAATAAGCAGGCATAAAACTCAGGGTGCTTGGATATATTTCCCCCATGTAACTACAGACCAGATGTCTTTTGCCAACAGGAGGATATGAACAGAATCTAAAGCAGCCTTTTCCCAAATAAGATAAGACGATTTCAAAACTTTATGCATCAAGTAGGCAAAAACAAACAAACTAACTAACTAACAACTCCGTATACTCCTCGGCAATAAAAATGGGTAAACTACTGATATGTCTCAAAATCATTACATGAAACAAAAGAAGACAGACACAAAAGAACATATACTGTATGATTCAGTTTATATAAAGTTCTAGACAACCAAAACTAACCTATGGGGACAGAAACCATCAGTGGTTGCTGGAGCCTGGATGGGGGATTGACTGAGAAAGACACAAAGGAACTTTCTAGGGTGATAGAAATGTTCTGTATCTTCATTAGGATAGTGATTAAACAAATACATGCAATTCTCAAAACTCATTGAACTTTACACTTAATATCTGTGCATTTTATTGTATGTAAATTATATTTCGGTAAAGTAGATTTTTAAAATAAATCTACTAAAAGCACAAAAAGTATTTCTCAAAGCCCTATCTTGGTGGGTGACTTTAAGAACTCTCTCTTAGAAATCAAGAGAAGCAGCAAAAAAAATTAAATTAACAATATGGAGAGTATGAATCACAAAGTTATCACAGTTGATTTAATAAACACACGCAGAAATTTTTATGCTCAACAAACCAGAAATATGCATAATTTCTAAATATCCAATGCAACATTTACAGAAACAAATCATGTGTTCAATCACAAAAATTTTTTTTCTAAAAGTTGGAAAAGCTTTAAGTCACAATTGCCTCCTACAATGAAGAAAACCAGACTGGAAAACCAAAAGGCTAGGAAAACTAACACACTCATTCACATGAGCATCGAACACATTCCAACTACCTATAAAATTCCAAAAGCACTTCTAAATAATTTTTGGATTAAAGAAGACTAAAACTAAAATTATAGACTATTAAGAAATGAATAACAATTTGGACACTGTGTATAGCAAAAGAAATGGTTAAAGAAGTACTCAGAGGAAACCATATAGCCTTTAATGCATTCATTAGAAAATAAGAAGACTAAAATTAAATAAGTATTTAGTTTAGGAAATTAAAAAGTAAACCAAAAGAAAACTGAGCACCAAGTGCCAGGTACTGTGCTAAGTAAGCACTTTACATGTATTTTCTCATTTAATTCTCATGTCAACCTGGTAAGAAATTATTATTTCCATCTTAAATATGCCCTCTCACTTTTCTTGTTTTATTTTTCCTCCTTAGCATTTCTAACATACCAGATATTTCAACTGTTTTTGTTAAATGTTTCTCAACATGACATTTTTACGTTTTGTTTACCATTGTATTCCCAATATCTAGACCAGTGCCTGACACAAAGAGATTCTCAAATATTTTTTCATACATTAGTGACATAATCCTTATTATATGATATAGAAATTATGACAAAAGCAATTAAGTGGTTTGCCCAGGGTTACTCAGATTCTATGTGGCAGAGCTGGAATCCTGAGTTAGCTGGGTGAGGTCAGAGGCCACATTCTGTCTTTTTAAAAATATTAGAAATCAATAGGGGGATATAACAATAGATATACAGGAGAATCTGAAAAATTAAAAGTGAACGTAATATGCATATTTATGTCAACAAAACTTAAAATCTCAATGTAATAAACAATTTTCTTTAAAAAAAATCATAAAAATGATTCAAGAAGATGTGAAAAATCTGAATAAGCCGGTATAAATTGAAAACATAATAGAAACTTCATTCCCCTTCGCCCCCACAAAGAGTACCAGGACCAAAAAAATTTTAGGGGGAATTTCATCAAACTAATGAATAGATAATTTCTATTATTTACATGGTTCACAAGTAAATAAAAAATGAAAATGTTTTATTTAAAAAAATAGGCTACAATACCCTGACATCAAAAATGACCATGGAAATATAAAAGAAAGAAAGCTACACTCATAGATTCTAAATAAAGTAATGACAAATTGAACATAGCAGTATGCTAAACCCAGTGGAGTTTAATCCAAAAGTGGAAGAATGGTTCAATATTTTTAAGAGTGAGTAATTCAAAGAGAAAAATATATGATCATCTCAATGGGCATAAATTTGAACATA